GGGCAAACCACCTGGAAAAAAAAGCTACAAGAAGTCTTTGCAGAGGAGGGAAGCTCTTCAAGGCAACCATCAGCCGGGCTGCCTGCAAAGAGAACGGACCTTCTCCCAGCAGCCGGGCACGTGACAGTGTCTGAAATCAAAATACGAAACAAAACGAAGAGCTGAGCGAACTGCACTCCCCTGCCCTCAGTGCCTGAAGGAAGGTGCTGCGCAGGAAAACACTACGGGAGAATTAAGTATCTGATAACGGCCTAATTAAGTTCCTCCATCTCTGAGCTGTCAAACATGTTCCAGCTTCTCAGCAGCTGGTGCCAAACCTCCCCTTTCTCGAGGAGAAGGAGACTTGAGGGCTTCTTCACATCTCCCTCTTACGCTGCCTTCCCAACGGCATGGCCATCACCTTCTCTACCTGACTTCTTAGTCGAGCAAGAGCCCCAAAAAGCGACCAAGTGATATTCCTTACTGCTGGAAGGGCCAGGATATTCAAAGAAACAAATAAATCACCTCTCAGGTAAAGGAAACCCAAGAGCGACAAGCTGAGCAATGGCACACTGATGTTTTCCACCGCATTTGAAGAGCTCAGAACTACCACTTGTTTCTTTGAAAGCCTGGAGCAAGTCAGAGTCACAGCTCTGACGTGCTGAAGTGGAAAACCAGGTTTTGATCATCTGCAAATGGCTGCAAGAGGACAAGGTTTAGCGCTCCTATTGTTATCACCTATGCCTTATCTCTTAGTTAAGAGGGAACACACAGTTTGTACAGAAGAAGCCTTCTCTGTCAGAGGTTTTCTGAGAAAAACCTCCTGATCTTTTCGGACATGCAAAATAAACCACGAATTACTCTGGTTTTCTACCTGTCCGTCTCTCTCCTGATGGCAATGCTGACTGCAGGTCTCCCCGTGATGTTCAACCTCACGCCGGGAATTAGGAGACTGGGTGGGGGTCAGGTTTCCTAAATCAAGCAAGTGCTTCTGAAACCCACCTCTCAACCACCAAAGGCCAGAAACCTTGGAGCACCTCAAGCTCCTTTATGCCAATGCGTGGCTGGGAATGCAGTGGCTTTCCCAGATCCCAGATTTCAGCAGTATCTTCCCAGTAACCACAACGAAACAGCCCCTTCTTCAAGAGCAGTACACAGAGGCTGGAAGCTCCTGAAGCTCTTAGGGTAGAAAAAAGGGGCAAAAATCCCAAAGAAGGGACAGGACTCCCGCAAGATGTTGGCACTGATGGTTTCTCCTGTGTCCTCAGGCAGAACAAACTTCAAAGGGGGGGTCTGCAACCGTGTGGAGGCATCCCATCGTGCTGTCACGCTGCCCACGCAAAGCACTCTGCATTGACACACGACAGCAAAGCAGCGCTGCGTACAGCCCAGGGAGGTTGTATGGAAGCGACAGCCGTGGCGTGGTTCTGTCGCTGAACAGATCAACCATGTTTTCTTACGAGTGTCTGGGATACGTCAGGAAAAATTTGTATCTGGGGAGGACAAAGTGCACAGACTCCATCCCGGGGACTCCAAGGCGAGCGTGTTACTCAGGCTGCAGCCGTAACAACTGAGCATTTCCTATTTTGAAACGGTAAATCATCTTCTCGGTGCTTGCTGGGACACTTGAGACAGACATTAACCTGAAAGAACTACTCATTTCAAGGGGGGGAAAAAAAAAGGACAATGAAAGGATGAGTCAAAAAGAAAACACAGGGGAAGAAACAAAGGCTGGGCTGAAAACAAAGCACTTCTTAAGCAAGCTTCCAGGGGGACTTTTATAAGGCCCTCAAATTGCTCTGCAACGCAGGAGCTCCCGGGATGAGAAGTGCCAGAACAATGGGGAAAAAAGGAAGATGAAAAGCTGGGCTCTGGGAGAAAGCAGGCGGAGGAGACGGCCCTGCTGCTCTGCCCTGCGGAGGGCTCGGTGAGAGGTGCCAGGCCCTGCCCAGGGGACCCCACGCTGCCTCCCCGGGGCTGGGACGGGCCGGAGCCAGCAGCCCCCCCGAGACATCCCCCAGGGTCACTGTTCCAACCTGTCACCCTCTGCAGCCCAGTGCCGGGGTGTGTCACCAGCCACCCAGGGAGATGCAGCCCTACAGTGCTCCCAGTCGGTCACAGCTAACTGGTTATCAACTCCCCAGCCAGTTTTCCCCCCAAAAACCTCCAATTAAAACTCCCACACGTATCGGCTTCCTCGCACCCATCCTGCCTTACAGGCTGGCTACAGCATGGGGCAGCTCTCTCCCAAGGAGCTCCTGCAAGAATGTCATAAAACTAAAAAATAAGTAATTATCCGCTGCAAACCCTGATGCCCATTCCAAACCAGGAAGACCCAGAGCCGGACACATCCAGCCCCAAACTGCAGCACGATGAGTGTTTCTACTGGGACCACACCAGCTACACACACACAGGCTGACAAAAAACACTCGTGGGACTACATGAACCAATGCAACCTGTAACCTGGCCAGTATTAAGTTTTGTAATTTAAGAAAAATGCATTTAGTAATTTATAATTCTGTAATTTTGATCAATACCGGGGAAGAAGAGAGCCCCTGCTGCCTGTAGCACCCAGAAGCGCGTATTTATTTACAGATGCTTTATCCTCACCGTGCACAGTTGCCATCTTGCACACCCCTTTGAGTTTACAGCATCTGTTTAGCCCAGCCTTCCTCCCCCAGTAGCTCTTTTCGTAAGAGCTGGCTGCGTAGTTATTTCAGGTGCTCACGATCGCCCAGACATTTCACAAGGTCACCTTACACCACCACAAAAAACCCTAGCTTGAGAAACACACACCATTTTTCAGAGCTATGAGCTTTCAGGAAGCCAGAAGAGCCGGAGCTGACGCTTTACACGCAACACCGACCCAACAAATGATGGACTTGTGCATCCATGAGACGTGACAAAGTCAAACCCACAACTTACACGGCATTTAACCATAGATTTGCTGATTGCAAGTCAGATTTAATGCCAACTTCTGACGTCACTGTGCCACCCTGAAATAGAAGCCACTTGAAGCGACTCCCCCAGGTTGTCTCCCCCCACGTAACACAGTGGTAGGACGTGGTTCTAAACCCGACTGCTCTAATTTCCCTTTTTGCAAACAACACGTTTGGGTGTTTCCATCTGTCCTTTCATTTTTAGATATTTAGAAATACTCCTCGTCCTCTTTCTCACAAACTACTTCTGATACCGCCCCCAAACAGAAAAAGAGTCAGCCTCCAGCTTCTGGCAGGGAAAAGCAATGCCTGTGCTGTTTTCAAAGCATTAAAACTTATTTTATGACCCAAGGAAACTACGACTACATTTAACACTGTCTTCCACTACAGGTGGAACAGAAACTTAAAAAAAAATAACATGACCTTTCACAGATTTCAAGGTGAAAACCACACAAACGCAGAGCTATCCCACACAGGATTTTTCCTGCAGCATTACCAAGCACGAAGTCAGCCACGGAGGAAACCCGGCTACAAGGAAAAGAGTATTTTGTCAAGACGGGAAGACCCACGCTAACTGCTCTGGGGCACAACCCATTTATGTAAATGCCAACTCCGCTTTCTTCCCAGAGTCTGCTCTCAACATTAACCTTGCTCTGATCCAGCTTTTAAGATTCACTCTTTTGTTTGCCTGCAGGGACAACAGACTTTTTCTAGTGCCAGATTTGGAATCTGGTTAGTCTTCTGCACTAATTTATTGCAGCTATTTAACTGTCAGCTTAAGGACTGTACAGCTGCATAAATAAAGCCAAAACCCCTTCCAATTCTATTAAGGCTCTGAACAAGGAAAGATGGTAAATCTAAGCTTGGTCCCAAAAAATCATATTTATTACTATTCCATGCTAAGCTTTAGCCAGCACCAAATTTATCACACATGCATGTAATAAACATGATAAATACAGTATTTGATGAGTGTGTATATGCACGGAAAACTGTTCTGATAACCAAAAGTTTTGTTAAATCCAGACAGATACGTGACAGCACCAAAATAAAGTGATTTTTTGAGCAAGTGCTAAATTATCCGGTGCAGATGCAACAAATCACCTATCTTGTTTGTTTATGAGGCCTGGAAATGAACACCTCAGGAAGTTCAGATGAGCACTGCTTTATTATTTAACATTTGCTTTATTTATTTTGAAAATTTCTTTATTATATATAAGAGCTCCGGGCCAACTAGCAGCTCTTTCAGAAGATGTAGCCTGCACACAGTAACACATCTAACCAAAATGAAGGAAGCCTCCCCCATGCGCTAATGCGCTTTTGGTGATGCCACACGGACGGGAAGTTTCCAAAAGCAAACTCACAAAATCCTCAGCTAAAAGCTAAGTACTGCTCCAGATAACACTGCGTATTTTGGTTCAAAGAAGAAACTGTATTCTAAGCTCATTAATTTATTATTGAAAACTTAACGGATCTTTTAAAACATCTGACAAATTTAAGGATCAGCCCTACGCATCTGTTTTCTTCAAGGAGAACAAACAATTGGTGCTGTTACCGAGATCTGCACAAGAAAAAGTTTGTTTTTCTAAAGCTTGGAAGCGTTATCCAAAACTGGGAGATAAGGAAACAAGGAGGCAACGCAGAAACCTTCCTGTTTAACCGCCGAACTACTGCGAGGGACGCCCACGCGTAACATCGGCGCCGCAACTCCCGCTTCAGCGTTTCACCTGCTTCTGCAGAAGCAGGGATCCTGCCACAGGAGTCAGAGCAGCCTCCAGGCAGGGGGGATCTCACCCACCCAGCAGTGGGTGTTCAGGTCTCTGCACCAAGGGGGAGCAGAGCAGAGCAGAGCAGCCACCCGCAGTGCTGGGACAGTGGCACTGTGGCTCTTACCCAGGTTTAAACTTGAAGATGATCCATGTGAAGATAAGGAAGGTGGCGGAGTCTGAGAGTGGCCAGGTCCTTGGCTGGGCAGAGGCATTCCCACAGGTCCAGGAGAGGAGGAAAACCCAAGGCCATTGTAAAAACTGTGTCCTATAGGTGTCAAACTGCTGGATGTCCTCTTGTACAGGTCACTGCTCCCCGTAAGGTCGGCGGGAGCCGCTGCCCGTGTTGGAGTTAGCAACTGCAAAGAGGAAGAGAGTAAAATTGCGTGATGTCAACGAGCTGCCCCCCACAACTGGACAGCTGGAGAGCGGGTACAACGGCCCCTGTGGACACCTGCACTGCACCAGGCTCTGGTTTTCCTAAGGATGTTGCATGGGCCCAAATGAAAGGCATTCATTAACTCCACGATGGGACGATCAAGCAGAAACCCTTGATTTAAAAAAAAAACAAAAAAACCAAAAAAACCCCAAAAAACAGCTTGAATCCTGTCTTTGCATTGATAGTTTTGTAGTTTTTACACCGACAGAACACACCGAGAAATGCAGCTTCAAAAAGCTACAGGCAGAACGATCAAGAAGATAAAAATCTACCTAAAGGAAGTGACAGAACGGAACGACAGCGAACGTGTCGGCTTTCGGACGCCAACCCTTGTGCTTTGCTTCTGAACAAAGAGAAGAAGGTTTGTATCCTTCAGAGCTCTTCTCCCCTAAGCGTATCACTTAGTTTAACAGAAGATATTAGATCGCCCTACAAGCATTGCCTTGTATTTATTCTTTGGCCATTAGAGCTAAAACAAATCCAACAAGAGATTTTATCTATTCATGTTTACTTAAGAGCATGTGCAGCTTCGTGTACATTGGCTTGAAATCCTTGTGCTCACCTTTCATTATATTAGAAAACAGCTCCTGTTTGCACCAAGCTTTATTGAGATGAAAATCAGAATTCGATTTAACACACAAAGCCAGCATTTTTTGGAAGAGTTGTCTTGACAGTCAAACACAAACTCTTTAAATGCACTGTCAACTTGAGGAAAAAAAAAATCAATATTGCATTAAAACCTTGTTTAATAAATAGTGAAATTCTTAACTGTAATGAACTAATCTTTTTTTTATGACTCCACACAAGTTCTAGAAGCAACAGCCTCACGTTTTTGTTCCTTGATTGAGCAAAAAGAAGTTTGGGCACCTTGGCATTGAGCAAACTAGTAACTGCATTCATTAGTTAAATAAACTGAAATGAAAGAAGCAAATGCTGTGTTTACCTGAATCCAAGACGGTTCACATTCTCAGGCTGGGTTTAAGAACACTATTTAGAGTAACTTTTACATAAAACTGTGATTTGATGCAGTGACAGTACGTCCCTCAGCCTTTTCTGATGGAGCAGGTTCAAAAGGCATGTTACAACTTGCCCATCAGCTGATGAAAGCAGGAAAGTTCAGGACATAATTACTACCTCTGAGACTAAGCAGTAATTAAAACAATTGTCCTACTTCAAAAAAACAAAAACAAAAACCCAAACCTAAGGAAAAACAAAAACCCAACCCACAAACATCTTCCTGGTTTAGTTTTATTCTGGAAAAAAAAAAATCTTTGTCTCCAGCCGCCTCACAAACAAATCAAAGCAAACCATCTACGTAGTGTTTCTTGCAACCACAGTAAGTGACTTTTTTTTGGTGTATCACAGAAACAATTCCCAGAATCACGCATGGAAGCCACCTCAGATCAGCTTTTTTAAAAATCACCAGAAGCTACTCTGCCATTATTCTGAGGTAGGAGTTAGTACCCGGCTGGACACCGCTCTGGGCCGACTCCTGTCGGCGCGGTGTCTCCACCAAGCCCGCGCAGGTAAAGGCAAGGAAATTCAAAGCTGTTTAAAAACTTCGGCTGTAGCAACGAGGGGACGACTGATAATGCGTACAACAAAACTAACTCATTACTTCAGTACTCCTAACAATATCATCTACTCGGAGAATTTTCACCAGAAAGCACTGCAGGCTTTGAAAGTCCCTGAAGGAAAATCCCCAGTTCACCTCAGACGGACGAAGAGGAGGGCTCAGCACCTCGACGCGCCAGCGCCGGCTCCAGCGGCTCACAAGCCCACCAGCTGCCTTCGCAGCCATCTGCTTCTTTCCTTCTCCCCCATGAAGAAGCTGCTGTTCTTACCTGCTGTCCCAAATCCTCCCAGCGCAGACCCCAGCGTGGCACCGAGAGAGCTGCTGCTTCCGAATCCCAGGGAAGTGTTGGCAGGCTGGGCAGAGCCCTGAGAAAAGAGGGAACTGCTCTGGGAATTGCTGCTGAGAGAGTTGTTGCCGTAAAACGAGCTGGATGCCAGGTTGTTGGTGGGCTGCTGCTGGGGCTGGGGTTGGGGCTGCTGAGTTCCTAGAGGGCGAAATGGTCCGTTTGTTGTTCCTGCCAGGCCACCCGCTGCACCGTTGGCCGAAGCTGCAGCCGCTGCAACTGCTGGAGAGAAAGTAATTGGAAGCACAGACTGAAAAAAATCCATTTTCAGAGCAGTTTTGGAAGTTAAAACTTAGCAGGTTCCTTTTATTTACTATCGATTTTTTTCTTTTCTTTCCTCTCAGGATGAAAAATCTCCCTTTTGACCCAAACTCTGCATAAAGTCTCTCCACTTTGTAGCCAAGCTCCACGAGTCTTGCACAGAGCCACTAAGTATCAACAACGTCCAGTTATTTCTGCTGCTGCTTGTATTATTAGAGCTACATAGATCAAACACACAAAACTGTTCCCTTTCTCCTAAGATCTAAGATCCAAATCAATACAGCCACACACTTAGCTATATCCAATTAAGAAACACAAGTTTTGAAACAAACAAAACCGTCCTTCAGCGCACAAAATGCAATCCTGCGGTGTTAAGAACATCAAAACCAAGGCCTTTTGTTTTTCAGCCAGTTCCAAAGTAAAAGAAAAAGCAAAATAAACAAGAGCTACAAGGAAACAATTAAAAAGGCCCATTTCATAATCTGTTAGTAACACTGGCAAAGACTGCTTACACGCACAGATTGTAGCTGAAAAAAATCCTTTTAAAGCTTTGAACTCCCAAAGAACCCTAATAAAACACAGAACAACTCATGGCAAAGGCCAGGCATGTAGCATTTTACACAAGGTGATCATCTGGGAGTTCTACCCAGGCTAAAACCTTTTGTAACGTGGGAAACTAGATGCCAGCGGACAAATTTAAATAACCATCATGGAACTCCGCAAAATAATGCGTTTATGGAGCCTCTCTGAGGCTGTTCTGGAGGCTCAGCCCACAGTGAGCACAGAGGATGTTCTCAACAACAATCCCCACGACGGATCTCAGTGAGGGCAAGTGTGTCATCACGGCCAGCAGAACCCCCAGGGCTTCAGGTCCCCCCTCCGCCGGGGAAAGAGCCGATTGTCACTGGAGGGGACAGGGACTCACCTGCTTGCGCTGCGGAGGAGCTGATGATGACTGGAGCGGGGGCCACCAGACGGACGGGGGCCCCCAGGCCATTCCTGGCCCCCGCATTCACCACGAGAGCACCCGTTTGGTCGTAGTAAGCAGCAGGAGCCAGCACTGGGTAACCTGAAGAGGCAAGGTACAGGCTCACAGGTAAGGTAACGAGCAACGCCACGCACGGCGCAGCGACCGGCTTCGGACGAGCACAGGGCAGTAACGTTTCTAAAGGAAAATCGGAATGGCAAAGGGAAAGGCAACAGCAGCTCTGCTGCTCCTCCAGCAAAAAAAAAATAATTTAAAAATCCCTATTAACAGTTTACACTTGACACTAGCAAGACTTGCAGGTGGAGAAGACACTTTTTCCCCCTCCAAACCTGCTATACTAGCGTTGCCCTCAGTGTAAATTCAGGTATGCAGATAAAAAAGGGCTTAAAATACAACAGTGCTGTTTCTTTTCCATTAAAAGGATGACGTGTGCTGGGCCTTCGCGTGTGTGTGAACACACTGCGCTTCCAGCGCTCCCGCTGGGCGCTGAAGTCGTTCCGTCTGCACGCACACGTGAACAAGACCTGGAACTTAACGTTATGTATTTTGAAGCATTCTTTAATATATATAAACAAACAAACAAAAAAATCTTCAAGCAAATATGCTGGTGAGACACAGAGCTATGCACAGTGGTACACAGCTATTTAGGTACCTTGCTATATAATTCTACAGTTAAATAAAACTTTCAGGAAAAAGTGAAGTGATTCTCCAAAGTGGGGTCACGAACAGAATGTTCTCTGTCAATACTTGCTTTGCAAACGTAACCCTAAAATCCCAATAATGCAGATTTAAGGAAATCTGCATATTACAGTTCACTTTGTAACTTAACACAGCAACATTCTTCTTAAACCATAAAAAAAAAAAACCCATATAACCACCATGTGACACTTGCAGTGAGGAAACCCGAGGTCAACATAATCCTGTTCGCTTACATTTGACCAGCAGGACATAGTTGCACATTATTCAAGAAATACTTAGGTTTGCCCTTTGCTGGCCCAGCCCTAACCCGTGACACCATTACAGTAATATTCTGTATAACTGCATGTCAAAAGCATTTGTACCGCACAGCCTCGTGCATCAGAGCTAAAACTCATATAGTGGCTCCTCTCTTGCGGAATTATAAGTTACAATAAAACCCCGCTTCTTTTTATCTTCTTTATTTCTTGTTTTTAAGCCACTAGTATTTGTCTGGAAGAAATTACGAAGGGGAAGTCCTTATCCTGTTAAAGTCAAGCACCTGGCAGGGATGGAAAGACAAGGCTAATGAATGGGACTAAGGTATCTCCGAGGTTTTTAAAGTAAAGATCACATAAGCCGGCATCATCCACAGAAAAATCGGAAAGTGACTTTCAACAGGAGCCATCCACTCCTCGGAGTACACAGCAAGTAATGCACCCGTACAGCAACACCGTTCAAAACAGCCGCTTTCATCTCTGACAGAGGGTTTCAGACCCTCCTCTCAGCAGGACGCTGCACAGGGAGGTAGGCTCGCATCTACCAGCTTCTCCAAAACGCCTTGGACACCCACAGGTTCAAACCAAACCACACCACACCACTGCTGAACGCCGGGCCACGGCGACCCCACGCCGAGACACAAGGCGTCGCTTTCTCAGCTCTCCCTGGGCGCTGCAGGAGCGGCAGCTGCTTCGGAGCCCCTACCTGGCATCCCTGCTGCCAGCCCCTGGCCAAAGGCAAGGGCAGAATTGACGGCTGCGGCGGCCACCAGCGGATCCGTCTGCTGTCCCTGCTGGTTCTGGTTGGGGGTCAGGGGACGCTGACTGGCTCCTCCGCGGAGAACCTGGAGAAGACAGAGGAACATCGATCTGTTGATTTCGGGTCCGGGCGCCAGCCACAACCACCAGGCACCCGGAGGAGCACCGGCAGCAGTCTGGTTGAAGTCCTTGCACGACCAGCGTGTGACAACCCCTCCCCTACTCAGGACAGAGCCACCACAAGCCTCGGCGCTACTACCCCGGGTAAATGCATAAGACCCAATGTCAACAACACATCCCCTCTCAGGCTTACTGAGCATCGTCTGGAAGCCCTTCATCACCTGACCTCTTCCACTTCTCGACATACCTTCAATACTCATCCTTTGTTACAAGGGCTTGCAAACCATCTGCCCCATCCCAGCTAATATTTGGGCTCTGCCACAAAAGCACCACTGAAAGCCCACTTGAGCAGAAACCTTAAAAAGCCCGATGTGGGAGCTGGGGGCTGATGACACGAGGTGACTTGACAGGGGGGCTGATGACACGAGGTGACTGACAGGGGGGCTGATGACACGAGGTGACTGACAGGGGGGCTGATGACACGAGGTGACTGACAGGGGGGCTGATGACACGAGGTGACGGGGGTTTTTCCAAGCTGCCAGCCCCCGCAGAAAACAGCGACCCAGTGACACAACTCTTACTCATCAGAAATAATGACCAAAGATCACACACCATCTTTTAGACGTAGCTCTTGTGGTTTAAGCACAAGTTGCTCTCCAAAGGCAAGATGGCAAACTGACCTTTCCTGTAATTACCTGTGACAGGCTTTGTCTGCAAAAGCCTTTTACTCAAAGTGGTGATGCAAGAGCCTGCCCCCATTAGCGAGGTCAGCTTATTAAAAACGCCATCCTTTGGTACCCAGCGTGCCTGGCTGCAAAAGGCAACACCGTGTGTGTCACCCGACAAAAGTTGTCGAAAGGAAAAAATGACTTTGCACGCTGAGAGACTGGGAGAGGATCCTGAAGTTAACCAGTGCAGACCCGCATCCCAGGGTTTGCCACCACTGGTGAAGCCTCAACGCGAGCTCCTCAGCGCAGGGAGCTGCTCGGTGAGCACGTGCTGCGCGAGGGCACCGCACGGAGCACCCGCGAAGGCTGGCAGGCTGCAGGAAGGGAAGTGTCGGTGGTTTTTATAAATACGCTATCAAGATGTCATAAACATCACAAATCAACTGTCGCTCTAGGCTTCCAAAACATTTGCCTCAGCACTTCTTAGAAGAATTTCATCCAAAAAATACACAACTGTATCCTCTGACGGATGGAAGGTTTGCATGAAAAACAACACCCACGATCCCCACCCATCCCTGCTTCGTGGCTATAAAAGTAATGAAAAAATATCATAAAGGCTACTGATGATTGATATTTTCTATTTTAACAGCCTAAGCCTTTGCAGAAGCTCTCTCAGCACACACCTTCCCTGCGGGGAAAGGCTCCCAGCCTGAATGCCAACGCAGACACGGCTTTAACACACTCCCAAGGCCATTTTACCTGTGCGCACGGTGCGTGCAGAAGGTCTGTTCAACACACTCCTGTCTGTGACCTGCCAGGTGGGGAGGTTTGACGATTAACTTTGTCAGGAGCAAAGTGTTCTCCTCCTGGTCCAGAACCGTTGGTGTGAAACATCACTGCTTTTATCATCTGAAAAGGCCTTATAATACTACCAAACACTGGGTTTTGCTTTAGTTTTCAGAGCAGAAGCTAATAAACTCAGCTGCCCCTTGCTCTCTTCCGTAAGCGCTGTCTCAAACGCACGAGGACCAGAAAGGAAGGCTTTGTCACTGGGAGAAAGGAGCTGCTTCACTTTTCGGGAGGATAACGAACCCGTTTGGTATCCAAGCAGGACGCACCATGGGACAGAGGCCGATAAAACAGTTTAAAGCCAGTGTCAGGTGAGGACCAGCACTTAACCAGACACCACACAAACCAGCTGGGTTTGTGCCAGAGCCAGCCAGGAAACAGAAGCCCAAGCCTGGTTCTTGACACTCATCCTGCAGGTGCCGCTGAGGTCTGAAAGGGGAAAATTAGGGTATATCCAGCGGTGTGTCCAGGGGGAACAAGAACCAAAACAAGGATGGTCAGACGCCTCTCAGCCTTCTAGCGTTTACCTTATTGACACGGGTTTAGCAACCATCAGGTTAGTTTGAAAGTTTGTATATATTTTTTTTTTTAATTTTTTTTTTAACGCTGATTTAGGTAGCAAGCTAACAATTTGCACTCCCGCACAACTCCGTAAAATGTTCAGGATGGCTTTTTGTTACAGTAAAGGAAGAAAATTATCATTCCCTATTAATTCTCATACCAGTTTCTCAGTTCCCACCTTCTGCTCCAGCAGTTGCTGGATTCACATTTGTGTTGTCTGCATCAACGGTACAACTATGATTAAGTACCAGACCTTTAAAACGCTTATTTTAACTCACTGAAGTTATGAAAATTAACCTGGGGGGGGCTAAAAAAAACACTGAAAAAGAAATTACACAGTGATTCATCACAAAGATGCATAACAGTTTTCAACAGAAGAAAAAGTAGAGGCTGTATAATCCAACACGCTGCCACTGTCAAGGGATTAAGACAGAAGGGACGGTGCAAATGCCATCACACGTCATTTATAGACGCGTGTAAGGAAAAACTTCCCCTTATCAGCCCCCAGTGGGACCTCTTCACTGGTTTTTTCTTAAAAAAAAAACAAACCACACTTAAAGGGGTAACAGCAGATCATATGAAAACCCTTCACTAACTTCATTCATTTTGACCTTTCAGGTGTCAAATTCTCCTAATTTTTGTGCAGACTAAAGTAAACCAGCTGCACAGTTTGCCTTATAATAATAGCAAGCCCAGTGTTTTCTTTTTGCACTCATCTTTTCTCTTCGAGTCCTCCCATGGATACCAAACCAACTCATTCTGCCGTTATTCTGACCCTTTTTAAAGTGGGTCTTCATCAAAAGAAAAAAAAAAGCAGCGCACTCTATCCTGGACAGCACCCTGAAGATAAGAACAGACTTGCTGACACTCGGGATTTGACACACATTATCATCAGCTCCGTGGCCTCCAGGCTGCGGCGACGGGCTCAAGAGCAGATTGCGAGACGACGGTGTCCACTCGCACGCCAACGGCCTGCCTTGGCCGCTGCGTCGCTCCGCAGGGCTCACAGACTGACCAGATTATCGGTTTTCCAAAGCATTAACACACCATCATTCACCACCACAAACGTGTGTGATGCACAACTGACATAACGGAAGGTGTGTCTGTTTCTTCTGCTTTTCCTAAGGGAGGTCAAAGGTTCTTCTCCTCAGTTACACCTCAGGGTCAAGAGCAGTCATTGAAAAGAAAAAAAAAAATGGGGGTTTTTCAAAGCTCCTGCGTTCCCTGGAAATGCCCAAACGTGCCAAGCACCCTGCCCCTTACCTGCTGCTGGCCCTGCTGGGTTTGCTGAGTGGTCTGCTGGTTTGCCGAATTGGTGGCGGCGGCGGCGGCGGCAGCTTGCTGCTGGAAGAGGCTGGCAGGGTAAACCCCCCAGGGCGTAACTCCATAGTACTGGTGAGGAACCACCGCGGGGCCTGAAACGCAAAGGGAACCCGTGAGCTGCTGGGCTGTGACCAGCATCACACGGCAGACCGTCACCCTACCTGCTCGCCGTATTTGGTTTCAGAAATCCTATTTCAAGGTGATCTGCTCTAATTCCTTCGCAAATACGGAGGGATTCTAGCATTTGTATTACTCATTTTTAAAAAGCTTAGAAGTCAGACCAGCCATTTCATCTGTACTTGCTTTTACTTTATTGGATGAGGTCAAATTCT